ATCAAGCTAATTTTTTTTAAAGATTTAAGCTAAATGTTTTATTTATAAGGATGAATAACCAAAAACACACTATTTATCAAACCATATCCACATCGCGTCGGTTGCTGATAATTTGTCTATCTTTTGGGGGATACTACAGACAACTGATGAACAGTATTTTGTAGTTTGTAACTGGCGTTAGGCCCTTAAACTACCAAATGACCTCCATAAATACTGATGACGATTTTAAAAAATAAATTCCAAATTTGGATTCATAAGACGTGTTGTCACTAATTTGCAGTCTAGTTCTTGTGTAATATGCCATACCTCAGCCTTTTCTCCCTGTTTGCCTTCCTTAAGAACAGCTTATTGGCAGCCACAAAGACCATTTCTGATGAAGGTTTAGTGGACAGTAGATGGATTAACTGAAGGTCCTCGTGTCAGTTCCTTAAATTACTTCCTGTTCATTAGGGATATGATTTTTAGTTTCTGTTCATCAGTTGTATGTAGTTTTTAAGGCCTGGCACTTCTTATGTCTTTCACTTGTCTGGTTTCCTCAATTTTTTTCAGGACTTGTTGCATTTTCAGTTAAAAGCTCTTTGAGAATCGCCTTTCTGGTGCAAAAATACGAATTTATCCCTGTCAAACTGTGTTACGTTTGTTATTTTTCATAGATTCAACTAGAAATAGGAACAAATAATGTGACAGGAAACTACTAACAAAGTGCCTAAAGATACAATTAAAAACTGCTCCTTTGCTAAGTTGTTTGTTATGTGTAGACACAAAAATGGTTCATCTCTTGAGTTATGTACAGCTTTGATACTTGAATGATTCATATTTCAGTGTTAAGTGTCTTACAAAACAAAAAAGCAGCCAATCTCCAAAGAAAAATTAAAGGATGCTCAGAAAGCCTCAAAGACTATTGCTTGCAACTCCTTGGAGGCAAAGTACCAAGAAATGAGGTGTAGCTCAAGACTACGAAGTATAGGGGGAAATACTCTATGAGGTCTTGTATAAACATAGTCACTCTTTTGATGTTGTATAAGGAGTTCTTTCCTAAACCTTAAACCCATTGGTTTATACTGATGAACACTGCTGTGAGAGTAAAAAGTCCTGGTGATTTTTTTGCCTCTTAAAACTCATTAATACAAATTTGCAGCTTGTAATAAACCCTGAAACAACAATTTTATCTCTCGGCTGCAAAGTTGCAATCTAAACAATGCCCGAGGCTACTGCTTAGAGAGCAGCTTGTCTTTTCAGATGGATTTGTTTTCCTCATTATCTTATCACCAGTTGGAGCTACTGTGTGTCACCATGGTGATGGTGGTAAACAGCAACAGTGGGAGGGGTGGTGCAGAAGAGTGAATGAAGCCCAGCTATCGGGGAGCTAACATGTCCATGAGACTCATTAAAATTTCAGATGGTATGCGTCCATCTGGGGTGCAAACACACAATATTGAAGGGTCAATGCACAAGGCTCATGCTTGTCATTTTAAGTCAGTCTAGTTCTAGAAAAGAGTTTGGGTTAAAGACTGAGTCATTATTTCATTTCTGTTTCTTTATGGTAGCAGTATGTAATTCTTACTGATAGTTGTTCAGATACAAGCACAAAGAATATCCTTTCACTGAGCAGTTAATGTTTTCTGTTTTATAACTTTTATAGTATGTCAAGTAATAATAGAGCTAGTGATGGCTACAGCAATAAACAAACCAAACGAC